TATAATAACTGCACAGAATTACAGGATAAGCGCATTAAGTATGCCGTTGTAACAGCATATCGCAGCGCATATGCTGAAGGAGGTAGGAACGAAAGGTGCATTCGCCGTTTAAAGGACAGAGTAATATCGTTAACTATTATTTCGCCCATTGATTGCTCGTCTAACTAAAAGAATTCTTCTTAAAGAAGAAAATTAGAACATTGAACCATGGATCGTCACCAAAATGAACTCGTGTTTAGGAGTCGAACCGCTGTGTCAGCGAATCCCATGGTCCTTGGCGAAGGCGAATTGGAGTTGTTCCATAATTGATAAGTCTGGCCGTGTAAACTGCTTCGTTTGTGTGTCTCAATAGTCGGCCACTAAGTCGCTGCCAGAAAGATGAGTACAGACCTCTTCTGTAAGTGTCTCTTCCAGCTGAGACGGAACTGTGAACAGAAATGTTTATTAACAGTGTGACCACCTGACGAAACAGGCAATTCTTTCCGATTCTGCCGGTGAATGGTACTAATTCAGTGAGTTTTGTGACAGTTACGCTTTAGGCGAAATCATGCCATACGTATGAATTAGTGAAATGACAAGGAAAAGAGTAGCGCTCTTGCAACGGGTGGAAGTTATTGCAAGTTGACGATTGAAATCCGATTTAATCTAAGGTTAAACTTGTTACCTATTCTGCAAACAGACACGCCGGAATGAATGGAATAAAAATTACAGATCTGGAAAAACCGGTACAGCAACACGCCTTATAAGCAGAATCCGCCGGCACCGGCGTCACAGTGCGCACCGTGACATTCGAAAATGTCGCTGTGTGTCAGCGCCGTTCGTTTAACACTGTTATTTCTTATGTTAACAACTTCGCGAGCCCAGGAACGTAAGTGTCTCAATATTACCTTGCTGTTCTCTGCTTTAAGGACGTTTTTTGGCTTCCATTACTTTTGCGATGTTAGAACAAGTGAAGTAACGCAAGTTCGGAACCTGAAGATTAATATGACGTAGTTTGGTTTGGCATTCACTGAGCCACTGTAACATTTGCTTGTTAGTGACGATCTGCAAAGCAGGACGCTGAGGCAGGATCAAGCAGTGCGTAAAAGAAAACTTGTATTGCGAGGATGTAGGTGCTGCCGGAGTTGCGATGAATACCATGTTAGTCAAAAAATGCTGCCAATAGGAAACGGTTTATTAGAAGGCTCAATTTGTATATTTTGTCCCTTTATATATTGCAAGGGAAGCACAACTAAGAATGGCAAATGAATTGATTCGACGCTTGCCTCGTTTCTGGAATGCGTGACCCTATGAGAAACCTACAACCGTGAACGGCTCGAATCGCAACGCCGGAGCTTTCGCATGAACAGAATCAAGACGTTTCTAGAACACGTTTATTGCCACATCAGATTAGAGTTGCTCAATCGGTAGAAAGTTGAACTGGAAGATGAAAAATAACGGGTTCGATCTCAGCGAGGATAAGAAACTGGTGATGGCGTGCTCTACAACTTCTCAGCTATATTCACTGCCTTCACGAAAGTAAGGCATTACTAGCTGAAGGCGTCGAATCCTAGATCAACAACTCAGCAGCAGCTTCATGAAAGAAAAATGCAAAACACAAAGCCAGTCATAGAAGTGTGATGGAGATCAGCATCCAAGAGATAGTTTCCATTTCGTTTTCATGGCCGCTTAATGTTTATAGCAGTTTCCAGAAGCTGCACTAACCATTGAAATAAACCAAACGTATTAACGGCCATCGAACACGGATTTAGATCGGCAACAAAAGTCACTGGGTAGCGACACCGCAATGGCTAAAGAAGCTACATGGTTCGATGGACTGGTTTCACGCTGATTTCGATACGCATTTCGGCAAATTTAGTGACCCAGTAATCACGAGTGGAAAATCAACTGGTTTCAGTGTGAAAAACTAATTTCGCAAATGGTTGCTATTTAACTCAAATTCTACGATTGCACATAATTGCTTCATAGCATTAAACAAATTTTCATAGCACGTTGAAACTTATTCGAGAGTAAAATGATTACCAACCTCTCCGAACTACACATCGCCAAATAGATCGGGATATTAAAGAAGTAAGGAATTGCGTGCCATGAAAATGAATTTTATTTCAAACCGATAATAAACACAGGACATCCAGAAGTCAAGTATAGAATGAGGACGAGGAAATGAG